AACTGGCCTCAGGACATAACATAAAAGGGAAGTTTAAAGGAGAACTATGAGGGGGGTGCTTTTCACTCACCTCATAGTTCTAGCCGACCTGTGACAATGAGACTGTCACAGGTCGGCTCAGTAGATCGGGAGGTGAGCGAACACATACCGGCGCTCGCTCACCTCTCGATCATGTCACGGCTCCCTGCTGTGACAGGGCAGGGGTTGGATTCCCCGCTCTGATCCGCCAGCGCTGACTGGCGGAACAGACGGGGAAGGGGGCGGGTACAGCTGGCTCTGCCTCTAGATAGGCAGAGCCAGCTGTCACTCACGCAGCTGGGCGGATCCCGGCACAATTGTCGGGATCCGTTTCAGCTGCGGCGTCTCAGTATACCGCGAGCTACAGCTCGCGGTATACTGAGCCTAGGGTGACGGGAGGGCGCTAGTTTGTGTCCTCCCGTTACCCTAAGGAGAACTACGTGGAAAAGCCTTAACCCCATAGTTCTCCTTTAAGAAAAAAATAAACTTTTGATACAAAAAGATGAATGCGCGTGATGATATGTGTAGAGAACAAGCACACCTTGTATCAATCTATTGATACTTTTAATATAATATGTATCTATCACAGCGTGGTAATGCAAATGATGGGATGCCAGTGATAACAGTAAGCCAATGTTTTGGGGCCATATTGTTTCCCTTTCTCAAGGAACCTTAAAACATTGGGTAGGGACCTCATCCCCTCTGTGGCTGCTCTGCCTGTGGTAGTCACTTTGTAGCACTTCATGCAATGTTCTAAGATTATGACTAGACCTATACTGCTACTGCTGTCTTTCCGTCATTGTGTTATGTGCCAAATGCATTATATGTTAGCTACATCTTTTCACTATTTCTACGAACAGTGCAGTATATTGATATAATGTGTATGTGTATTCTCCTGTCATTCATTTTTATAGCTTGTTGGCGGGGGGGGGGGGGGGCATGCCCGGTGCTAGACTATTTTGCGCCCTAGGCAAGACCAGCTACTTGCAACCCCCCTCCCATGACGCAATCCCTAATCCCCCCTGAGCAGCCCCATTCTCCTGCGGGTTCGCTTCTGCAGGCGACAGGTGGATGTAATTTAATTTGAAATAGCTAATAGCAGACTGGCGATTGAAACCCCACCCACTGAGCAGAGGGGCGAACCTGAGAGAGAAAGTTGTCCCTCAGTCACGCTCCTCTGCTCAGTCGGCAGGTGCAATAGCCAGCCTGCTATTGGTTTTACAATTTGAAAAAGACAGGGGGCGCCGTGGGGGGGTGGATGGTCAAGGCTGCGCCCTAGGTAGCAGTGCGCCCTAAGCGGCTGCCTAGTTTGCCTAGTGGCAGCACCGACCCTGGGGAGGGGGGTGATAGGATTGCACCCTTTTTCTGAACTATACTACCGTCCTTTTTGCTGTTTTCCTATATTTTTCATGAGGTGTGTGATGGGCACACTAACCGTTCGGGGCACTCTTGTTGATCACTTTGGTACCAGGGCTCTGGGATCGGTGCGCTGCTTTAAAAAAAAAAGGGCACTTTTTGCTATTGTAACTTGCATGTTCAGATAGGACAGAGCTGATCCAGCTCTCTCCTGCCTCCTACTGCAGCAACAGATCCCTGTGATAGTGATTCCAGCCAGCAATAGATCCCACTTAAAAGTGATCTGTTGCTGCAGAGCTGCAACAGATCGCTTCTTATTATGATCTATTGATCTAATCTGCCCTTTTAAGTGTTTAAATAAGTTATACTATATA